CGGCTCGATACTGGTAACGTATAGCTCATTCTGATTGGTCTCCGGATGACATTCTGGGTCTGGCCTCCGCACAATAATTTCTTTGTGTTTAGGGGCTTAATTTTTCACATAAATGATAAAATAAAAGTGAAGGAAACCCACAATAGAAGCATATATGTGAATTTCTTATAATTTATTCATCTAAGATTTTGGTTTTTTAATTGTAGTCATTATCATTGTTGACAAAAAAATCCCAAATTTCTTTAAGTTTATTGTGAATTACTAATGATCCAAAATTGTATTATTTGTTGGACAAAGTTGAGAGAATTTAAAGTGCATGATAATATATTAGTCTTAGCTTTAAAGACATAAATCAAAATAGGCAAATGGTTTTGGTTTTTTTTTTTTTTAATTTCAAAAATCAAATTGAGAAAAAGTATTATGGTTGGCCCTATTTTGATTAGCAAGATAGCTACCAAGACCACATATGCTTATTTATCATCTCAAGATCTGTCAGTCCACCTTATGATCTCCCTCTACTTAGGAGAAAACTTATCCTCTTCATATATATTTTTTGTTGATTTTCTTTTGTCATTGTAAATAAAGATATTAACGACAACATGGTTTGGGAATGGTAGTTAATGCAACACAAAAATGAAAATCTTACAAAAGATACTAAAAATAAAATGAAAAATAAAGAATGATCATGTCCATATGGGTGTTAAAACAGGTTAATGGGACGGGTTGAGGTATGACTCGAACTCAGTCGATCCTAACCAAGACCCGTTTAATAAATAGGTCAAAAAAGATAGATCCGAATTTGACCCGCTAGCAACATGAACCTGGCCCAATAACCCGTTTTACTTAAAAAATATTTTGATTCACTTGTTATCCATATATTTTAGATTAATTGATAAAATATACATAGCAATAAATAATATTATTTAAGAGAAATAAAATATTAAACGGGTTATTTTTGGGTCCAAATCGGGTTAATTGACGGTTCAACCCACCCGGCCCGAATTGACCCGTTTAATAAATGAATCGGAATGCATGAACCCGAATCCAACCCGTTTATTAATCGAGATCCGCATAAACTTAAAATTTTCAAGTCAGATTCGAGTTGAATTGGCAGGTTGGGTCATTAATTGATACTCATTCTCCTCCATATATTAACCTTGCCAAATTTAAAAAGGCTCGGTTAAATAAGACTATGCTAGTTTTATTTTTATTATTGAGATTTATATTTTTAATGAAATAACTTTGTTAAGTTATTTTGAAGTAGTAGATGTAAAATCATAAAAAATATTAAGTGTAATATGAGCTGAATTTTTAGTCCAAATTGGAAGTCAAATAATTCCACATTACATGCAACCACTTCTTATCACATCATCCCAAGTCTAACTTTGTTAATATGTGTGGAATCTGATTATGGTGTACTGTTACCTCGAACCTCTGTTCAATTTGTCTTGATAAAAATAAAAAGAAAAATCGTACAATGCTTTAGGGGTGTCAATTTCTGACACGACCCGAAAAGCCAACCCGAACCCGATCCGAAAAATTCGGGTTCGGGTCAACCCGTTTGTGAAACGGGTCGGGTCCAGGTTCAGATTTCTAACTCATTTGAAAAATGGGTCGGGTTCAGGTTGACCCGACAACCCGCGGGTCGACACCCGGATCCAACGTGACCCCCAGTTTCCGACCCTATCTCGACTGGAGCTTCGTCGTCTCAGGTTAACAAGTCAAGCTCTGCCTCCTCAACCGGCGATGACCCACCCACCTCCGGTGGTTCGCCCTACGGCAGGACCCACCTCCGCCAGGCTCCAGCCGACCCGCCAGGAGCCTAAGATGCGTCAACGCGCCCAGGCCCTACGCTCTCAGTCGGTCCGCCCTGTTGCCATTCGCCCACGACGACGCCCAACCAAGTCGCCATTCGCCCTTATTTCGCGACTCGCAACAGCGCTCCCGTGTTTGCGGGTCGGGTCAGGTCAACTCGGCAACCCGTGCGGGTCGGATTCGGGTTAGGATTATTGACATATTTAGCTAAACGGGTCGGGTTCGAGTCAACCTGTTTATGCCCGGGTCAAGTCAGGTTTGACCCGAATTGACACCCCTACAATGCTTTGGTGTTGTGTACCAGAGCACCCCAGCGCTATGTTCTCAGGCACCATGCTGTTGCAAAGTTTACAGGGAGAAACAATAGAGACCTTAGCGCCATAGTGCTCAAAATTCGAAGCTGTTGCACTGTCAGATGGACCAATAGCAGAGGATTGAGCGCCGCAGCACTTCGAAGCAGACTATATAGTTTTCTTTATCATTTTTCTTAGGGGTGATGTTCCTTGGTGTTATTTACGTCACTTTCTCTTTTGTTTTGTGCGTGAGAATGGTGAAAGAGTGAAGAGAAGCAAAAGAGAGAGTGAGAGAGAAGATAGAATTGTACAACTTTCTTCAAATTTTCATTGTGTGGTGTGGTTCAGTAAAATTTTCCCGATTTCGAATTTTTCCACGTTAAATCTTGATGTCCTCTTACTTTAACTGCTTCATATTTCTTATTTTGTTTTCGTTGCACGGTTCACTTACACCTCCAACAAACTCAAGATAAGTGATACATTTTTTTATGATTCTTTGAAGGTTCAAGATGTGGCATTTTATATTCCAAGAAGTAGTAAATAAGTGATCTTTGCAGCCCTTGTGTTTCTAAGGAGAGAAGTTAAAGATGAAGCAAGTTTTCATGCAAAGACTTTATGACTTGCCACCTTTTCTCTTCTTTGTAACTTTTCTTCTTCTTAAGCATTGTAATGATTCAAAATATGATAAACTCAGCCAGAAGTGTTGTCTTTGTAGTTTCTTCTTATGGAGTGTTTGCTGGCTAACAATATTCTTAACTTGGTGAACTCAGAGAGTTGCCTGTTTGATGAGAGGTTTAATACTTAATTACTTGCTGTTTTTTATTTTATTTGTTTTGTTTCTCTCATCCACACATTATTTTTTAGTGTTCTTAAATTTCTCTCTAAGTTCTCTCTCCTACACTAAGTTATTTACGAATTATAAATTTTTGTACTAAAAAGCTATTCCAAACGAAGACTAAATTAGCTTGTGTTCCTTTTAGGCTTCATTTGAGGCGGCTTTCTTAATGCTTTCAAGTACAAAAATTTATAGTTCAAGAAATTTTTGTACTAAAAAGCTGCTTTAAATAACAGTAAAAAAGTCGTCCCAAACGAAGTCTTACCATATGCACCAAAACCTCTAAATATCATTAAAATTAAAAACTCCATAACATTATTCCAAACATCCTAAAATTTTCAAAGTACTTGTACTCGTCGTAATCCGAAAAACCTAACTTACACTTAAGCTCCTCACAAAATCAACCAACATAAAATAAAACAAATATAAGTCCATCTTTAGAAACCCTCCTTTCCAAAGGAGCAATTATTACGTCCGGTGAAATCTGAACGTATCCGAATATATACCGAGCAATACCGAGTCCTCAATACCAAGTTTTAGGTGACGTGGCATGTGGTTATTGGTCTCTGAACGCATTCAATGACCGGACGTAATAATTGCTCTTCCCAAAGCCCCATTAACTTCAACTTACATTTAGTCATCATACAAGCCCTTTCATTCACCGAGGGCTCACCATATCAATAATATCAACAACCCTTTGTGACTTATATTTATTATTAGTGTAAGTTATTTCAGATGACAAAGTTGCTTCATTTTTTGTGTTTATAAACCCTAACAAAAAAAACCCTAAAAAAAAAAAAAAAAATAATGTCAACTTCTCATTTTATTTGCTTCTCTAATTTGTTGAATGAAATCATGTACAAAGTTAAGAGGATTGAATTTTTTTTCTTTCTTCTAACTTGGCTTCTAACACACATGCCACAACACTAACATATATTAAATTTTTTAGATAAAATCTTTAATTTTTTTTATTAAAAATATATTAAAGTAATCAAATATTAATAGTTTAATTGTTTTTGGCATAATTTCAAGTTATTTATTTATTATATACCAGCAAAATATTATTACCAAAAAAGAATTGTACCATATGTTTTAGTTGAAAAAAAAAATATAGGATATGTGTATCAAAATTGTAAGATGATTTTTACTTTTATATAAATCATATAAGATAATAAAAAGCATGTAATTTAAAAAAGGGAAATTTACATACATACCACTATATTTCTAACCATTTACATATCTAACACCTCAAAGTTTAATATTACTCTTATACCACCCAAATCCTTTATTTACCTCATTTTTACCACGCCGTCTGCCTAAACTTCACGGCCGTTTCAGATAGGGAGCTGGGTAGAGATCGAAAGTTTCAAATCGAGAGCAGAGAGGAAGAAGTCGGTTTAACCTATGGTTTGGACGGGTGAGGGCTTGTAGGCATCGGCTTCAAGAAGAGAAGAGGAGATCGGGGATGAAGAGCTCAGGTTGGGAGCTTTGTTGGAGAGGAGATCGGCAGAGGTGTTACAACTATAGGTAAGAGAGAAATCTCTCTCTCTCTCTCTCTCTCTCTCTGCTTGTGGCTGGTCCGGAAGAAACAAGATGCAGAGAGGTCGGCTGGAGCTTGAGATCGGAAATGCATTGACTTTTTCATTTCTTCAACTTGCCCCGTCCAGCTTCCTGCAACTGTAGCCCCGTCCAGAGTTCCCCTTCGGCGGTCTGATCACGAGCAGCGAGCTTAACCGTCCAGAGACGCTAGCAGCGATCTGATCACGAGCAGCTGGTAGGTATTCCGATTGTAGGCGAGCAAGGTATTCCCGGCGGGAAGATATACGGCGTGAGGTCCGATAGAAACGGAGTGGTATAAGTGATGTCAAGTATGAGTTTTGAGTGGTATAAAAGTAATATTAAACTTTGAAGTGTTAGATATGTAAATGATTAGAAATATAGTGGTATGTATGTAATTTTCCCTCTAAAAAATTATCTATCATTTTTAGGAAAAATCCCTCACCTTTTTTTTTCCAAGCTAAATTCTCAATCTTTGGCGGTATCAGTGAATGGATATCATTGCTACACATCATTTCCTCCACTTCTGTGTTCTCTCTCTCTTTCTCTCTCGCTCTCTCTTTCGCTCTCTGGCTCGCTCGCCAGTTGCTCTCACTGTTAGTTCTTTGTGTGAATAGATGGCCGCAATGCAATCTCTTGCGCTCTCTTCAACGATTGCTAATTGGTCGCAGAAGCGCCACCCATTTGGTAAACCCTATTTTTCCTCTTCTAATTCCACATTCTCTTTCCGATCTTTCATAGTTTCTGCACATTAGACTGCTATTATCATTTTCTTTTTCAACCAGTGTTCTACACTGGCATAATTATAGGCTAATGAGTATGTTCGCCGGGAAAGGCCATATGGGCAGAACCAAATCAATAATTGCTTCTTAGTACTTTCATTATTTTCAATAACTTGATCTTGGCTAGGTTATTATTTCTTTGATAAATCCTTTTTTAGGTTAGTTTAAGGTACTTTTACGTTTCAATAACTCGTTATGGTTAAGTTCAACCGGGAATGATTTAACCACCAAAAAAAGTTTTTTTTTTTTTTCCTTCTTTATTCATGGATACTGCAATTACATTGGATATTTGGAATCGCATGGATATTTTCACCCTTTGAGGATAATTAAATTGGAAACAATATTGTATGAAGATATCCTGACTCAGATGATTAGGATTAGTTTTGTAGCCACTGAATTTTGTTTTGAGATAAGTACAATACAAGTTTTGATTGATTAACACCCACCTCCAAAGCAAATGTAACGGCTATAAAACTCATTCCGGCCAAATTCGTATTTCAGGTTGCAAATTGCCTTCCTTATTGAGCGATTTATTTCAGTTGGTTGAGAGTTAAGTGAAAAAAAGTTGTTGCATCTGGTAATTCTGATGTTTGTTATATGTATCCTTTGATTGGTTCTTTAGGCTGTATAATAATAAGAAATGTCTATATTTTTGTGGAAATATTTGATGATATTGACAATGCAATAATTTGTAGAAGATTGAGATATTGTGTATTCTCCTTATATTTTATTTTTGTTCTAAATAAATATTTGAGAGAGAGGTGTGATATTTTAGCAAAAATGATTTAGGCGATGCTTTCTTTTTATTAATGTTATAGGTGGGATAATGATGCTATTGGTGATAATTAGGAGATTCAAAATTTCAATAAGATTTGGAAGTTTGATGCATTAACAATATAGTTAGTCTTCAACTAGTTAGTATTAGAGCATAAACCTTAATTAGCAAAGATCTGTTTTATCGTTAATTACATTAGTGATGAGCTGTATGATTTCTATTGGATTGTGTCTTCTGTACTGTATTTACCTAGTCTATTTATAGGTCTGTACTTATCTCTGTAAAGGCATTCGAATACAATTTCCTTTTGGTTTTCTCTTTCACCTTTTGCTTTCCCTACTGTGTCTATCGATTTATTCATGGTATCAAGAGTAGGTTAGGTCCTCTATCATGGATCACTCTGTCTCTTCCACCGTCGCCGATCATCATTTTCCGAACTCCACTGAAGATTCTGACCAAATAATCCCCTCCAATCTCAAGTTCTTGGTCTCTAACATCAAGAACGTGGTTTCTATTCCTCTGGCCGTCGATAACTACTCGCTTTGGAGATCGCAGGTTCTGAAGATCGTCTGCGCCAATGGCTTTCAAAGTTTTCTTGATCCGGCTGTTACCTCTCCGCCTCCAACGATCACAAACCAAGAAGGTGTTTCTTCCACAAATCCCTTATTTTCCAAATGGCGTCTAACTGATCAGAACATCTCGGCTTCTATCTGCTCCACAATTTCGGCTCCCGTCCTCCCGTATGTGATCCATCTTGACACAACGGCCGCCATTTGGGTTGCTCTCCAAAACCGGTTCCAAGCTACAAACCAATCCAAAGTCATTCAATTGAAGAATGAGCTTCATAATATCACGTTCAAGAACTCCAACATGAATCAATACCTTACCGAGATCAAATCTTTGGTCGATCAAATAGCTGCTGCCGGTGCGATTGTCGACACTGAAGATATAATACTGTACATTCTCAATGGCCTGCCGCCCACTTATTAGTCCTTCAAGACCGCCATACGAACAATGTTAACTCCGATATCACTAGATCAACTATACCCGCTGCTCCTTAGCGAAGAAGTGAATCTTGCTACAGAGGCGTCTAAGCTCGCTGGACGATCAGATAATACCATGGCTCTTTTCAATTCCCGCGGCAAACGGTCTCGAGGTCGTAATCCTTCAAGTAATGCTAATTCCTCCAGGAATACAGCCGCGGTACCCGTAACATGTCAGATTTGCTTGAAAAGAGGTCACTCGGCTCAGGCGTGTTGGCACCGCTTAAACACTCAATATGTTCCGACATCAAGAAACACGAACACAGCTATGATCGCAGGTTCAGATAACAATGATGATAGCTGGTTCTTAGATTCGGGTGCCTCGACCCATCTTACCAATTCTCTGGATAACATGTCCATATCGTTGCCATATCAAGGTTCTGAGTCTGTTACAATTGGAGATGGCAGCTCCCTCAAGATCTCCCATACCGGGGCGGGCATCCTCCCGACCCCGTCCAGTAAGCTTAATCTTTCACACATTCTTCACTCACCCTCACTTCAGTTTAATCTTCTTTCGATTTCTCAATTGACCAAAGATAATAACATATCAATTATATTTGATCCTAATGGTTTTATCTTGAAGGACATGAGGACGGACAGGGTTATCCTCCGCGGACCGTGTAAAGGTGGTCTATATCAGATTCCAACAGGGTCTCCTGCGACATCTCATACAGCTCTAAATACAAATCCTCAGTCGGCCGCTCGCTGGCACCAACGCCTGGGTCATCCTCACCGGAGGATCTTTAATATCATTTCTTCTTGTAATCCTGATTTAGCTTTAGGCAAATGTGATTTTTCTTGCAGTTCTTGTAATAGCTCTAAGATTCATAAATTGTCGTTTGAAAATTCTGATCATAGTAATAAATCTTTACTGTCTCTCGTTCATTCTGACGTATGGGGCCCTGCTCCGGTCGTCTCTAATCAAGGCTATCGTTACTATGTTATTTTCGTAGACGATTACTCTCGGTTCACGTGGTTATTTCCTCTTCGACATAAATCAATTTGTTTTTAACATCTTTGTTCAATTCAAAACACAGGTTGAGAACTACACCGCAAAGAAAATAAAAATCTTTCAGTCCGATGGTGGGACTGAATACATGAATCAGCAGTTTTCTTCTTTTCTCACTCAACATGGGATTATCCATCGTCAATCTTGCCCATACACACCCAAACAGAATGGTGTGGCTGAGAGGAAGCATCGACATATTATAGAGACAACGAGGACTCTTCTTCATACGGCATCGCTTCCATACCTCTACTGGCCCGATGCTGTCTCCACGGCTGTCTACCTCATAAATCGATTTCCTTCTCCTACAACCACAAACATATCCCCGTTTGAGCACATCCACAAAAGTAAACCTCAATACAATCATCTCAAGGTTTTTGGGTGCGAATGCTTCCCGCTGTCCCCGCCAAACACTAGACATAAACTTCAACCAAAAGCTATTTCTCATGTTTTCATAGGATATTCTGAGGTTCAGAAAGGATACAAATGCCTAAATATGCATAACAACAAAATTACTATTAGCAGGCATGTCACTTTTCAAGAACAAAATTTTCCTTTCGGCACTCTCAACACTCTGTCTGCTACCAAGACTTCAAATATGCCCACTTCTCCATTTCTACTGACACCGACATCCATTCAAACTCCTACTCCAAAGTTCAGTCCATCCCCTACAACTCAACTTCGATCATCTCCTATGTCCAATACCATACCCGAGACTGACAACACTGTCCCGACTCATAACCTTCAGCCACCTATGGAGCAGCAGTGTTCAAATGCTCCCGTTCATCCAATGACTACTCGCAGCAAAACTGGCTCATTGAAGCCAATCAACAGACTAAATCTGCTTCATAATCTTCAGTCAAGCACAACCGCCCCGGATCCAACCACATATACAGATGCTGTCCAGAAATTTGAATGGCGTCGTGCAATGGCAAATGAATTCCTTGCTCTTCAACGTCAAGGAACCTAGAAGCTGGTAAAACCACCTCCAAATGCTTCTATCCTTGGTTGTAGGTGGACGTATAGAACAAAATTTCACGCCGATGGATCTGTGGCTACTCACAAAGCAAGACTCGTGGCTCAAGGAAATCATCAACAGTATGGGTTGGATTATTTGGAGACGTTTAGTCCCGTTGCAAAACTCCCAACGATACGGATCCTTCTTGCTGTGGCTCTTCACAACGGATGGGCCGTTCAACAACTTGACGTCGTAAATGCATTCCTCCATGGCCAGCTTTCGGAAACCGTCTATATGCAACAACCGAAAGGTTTTCAAGACACCAATCATCCGGACTATGTTTGTCATCTTCAAAAGGCTCTTTATGGCTTAAAACAAGCGCCCCGACAGTGGTTCACTACAATTACCAATACACTACTCACCATCGGGTTCACTCAAAGTCAATACGACCCTTCCCTGTTTAGCTACAAACGGGATCAGGTTTGCGTTTTCTTACTTGTTTATGTTGATGACATACTCATCTCAGGGAATAACTCGGTCACTATCAAACAAATTCTGGATCAACTCAACAAGGATTTCCACATGAAGCACCTCGGTGAGGTGTCTGAATTTCTTGGTATCAAGATCACAAAACAGTCAAATAGTTATTTTCTGTCACAGGAAAGATACATTCAGCAAATCCTTCAGCAAGCCAACCTCACGGACTGTAAGGAGCTCGCTAATCCCACCTGTACTAAGCTTCCGGATGCTTTCAATCCAGAAAATGAACTTCAAGATCCAAGTACATACAGGCGACTGACGGGATCTTTACAGTACCTCACAATTACTCGTCCGGATATCTCCTACAGTGTAAATATGTTGTCACAACACATGCATAATCCTGAACCTCAACATATCTATCTACTCAAGCGCTTACTTCGGTATCTCAAAGGTACGTCCAAATACGGGTTACCGGTAACAAACACTAATCTCAATCTTCAATCCTTTTCAGATGCGGACTGGGCTGGTGATCCGGTGTCGCGCAAGTCTACTTCGGGATACTGCTCATTTCTCGGGAATACACTCATTTCCTGGACCGTAAAGAAACAGCACACCATTTCCCGGTCATCAACTGAGTCCGAGT